GAGAGAGTAGGAGTGAGAGGAGAGAGTGAGAGAGAGAGTGAGAGAGAGGTGAGATGAGGAGGAGTAGAGAGAGAGAGAGAGAGAGAGTGGAGAGTGAGAGAGAGAGTGATGAGAGTGGAGTGAGAGAGTGAGAGAGTGAGAGAGTGAGAGAGTGAGAGAGTGAGAGAGTGAGAGAGTGAGTGAGAGAGTGAGAGAGAGAGTGAGAGAGAGAGAGAGAGAGAGAGTGAGAGAGTGAGAGAGAGAGAGAGAGAGTGAGAGAGTGAGTGAGTGTGTGTGTGTGTACTTTCCCTGCTCCAAAAGCTTTGTGATATCTCTTCTTAAAGTTATGTATGGATCCTGCCTCCACTGCAACACTCTCCAGATTGCTTCACTTCCTGACAACTGTATGCTGTAGAAATACTTCCTAACATCCGTATGGTCCATCTGAGTCTTTAGCTTTCAGTTGTGACCCTCTGTTGCTGTGTCCCCTCTCTGGAACAGCCTGCCCTTATCCACTTAATCAATGCCTCACAGTATTTTATATGTCGTTATCATGTCCCCTCTATCCCTCCTGTCCTCCAGTGTCGTCAGGTCCTTCTCTTTGTATGAGCTTAGCAGTTCCTATTCCCAGAGCCTGTACTTAGTTTCCAGTCTTCCTCCTTTCTTAATTTTTATCGTGTTTTATATAGGCTGATTGAATTTTAGTTGCCACTTACTCGACCAATCCTTCACATTTTGTCCAGGCTATATTTATATGCTTTCCATGCTACCCCCCGTTTTTATTACTCTAATTTAAAATAATCTACAAACATGAATACATAGGACTCATCAGTATTTAATCCAGTATTTAGATATTTCCATCTATTTACTACGCTACATTTAATCGCGAATAATTTCTCAGAAGGGGCAAGCGCTAGAGCTTCCACAAACTGATGGTCGGGTTTAGTGCTCCATATAATTTTTCTTGAGACTGAGTCATAGTTGCAGCTATAGCAAACCTGTCCAGGCTAGTTCATAGACGGGTTGTTTTATCACCATCTTTATTATCAAAACAGCGCTAAACACAGATCATCATCTGTAAATTAGTAGGTTGCAGAGTAGGTTGGTAATTCTGGGACTACCAGACCACTTACTCGATTTCCTACCACTCCCATTTTTTTTTTCCATTTATTCACAAGGAATTTCTCAGAACATATCTTTTCCAGTTATTCTCTCATATAAAACAGAAATAGAATCGGTTTTCCACTTGTTACATTTGTCCTACCTGATACCTTTCACTCGCACTTGTTATATTTGTTCTTCCTGATACCTCCCTCTCGCACTTGTTATATTTGTTCTTCCTGATACCTCCCTCTCGCACTTGTTATATTTGTTCTTCCTGATACCTCCCTCTCGCACTGGTTATATTTGTTCTTCCTGATACCTCCCTCTCGCACTGGTTATATTTGTTCTTCCTGATACCTCCCTCTCGCACTTGTTATATTTGTTCTTCCTGATACCTCCCTCTCGCACTGGTTATATTTGTTCTTCCTGATACCTCCCTCTCGCACTGGTTATATTTGTTCTTCCTGATACCTCCCTCTCGCACTTGTTATATTTGTTCTTCCTGATACCTCCCTCTCGCACTGGTTATATTTGTTCTTCCTGATACCTCCCTCTCGCACTGGTTATATTTGTTCTTCCTGATACCTCCCTCTCGCACTTGTTATATTTGTTCTTCCTGATACCTCCCTCTCGCACTTGTTATATTTGTTCTTCCTGATACCTCCCTCTCGCACTTGTTATATTTGTTCTTCCTGATACCTCCCTCTCGCACTTGTTATATTTGTTCTTCCTGATACCTCCCTCTCGCACTTGTTATATTGTTCTTCCTGATACCTCCCTCTCGCACTTGTTATATTTGTTCTTCCTGATACCTCCCTCTCGCACTTGTTATATTTGTTCTTCCTGATACCTCCCTCTCGCACTTGTTATATTTGTTCTTCCTGATACCTCCCTCTCGCACTGGTTATATTTGTTCTTCCTGATACCTCCCTCTCGCACTGGTTATATTTGTTCTTCCTGATACCTCCCTCTCGCACTTGTTATATTTGTTCTTCCTGATACCTCCCTCTCGCACTGGTTATATTTGTTCTTCCTGATACCTCCCTCTCGCACTGGTTATATTTGTTCTTCCTGATACCTCCCTCTCGCACTTGTTATATTTGTTCTTCCTGATACCTCCCTCTCGCACTGGTTATATTTGTTCTTCCTGATACCTCCCTCTCGCACTGGTTATATTTGTTCTTCCTGATACCTCCCTCTCGCACTTGTTATATTTGTTCTTCCTGATACCTCCCTCTCGCACTTGTTATATTTGTTCTTCCTGATACCTCCCTCTCGCACTTGTTATATTTGTTCTTCCTGATACCTCCCTCTCGCACTTGTTATATTTGTTCTTCCTGATACCTCCCTCTCGCACTTGTTATATTTGTTCTTCCTGATACCTCCCTCTCGCACTTGTTATATTTGTTCTTCCTGATACCTCCCTCTCGCACTTGTTATATTTTTCTTCCTGATACCTCCCTCTCGCACTTGTTATATTTGTTCTTCCTGATACCTCCCTCTCGCACTTGTTATATTTGTTCTTCCTGATACCTCCCTCTCGCACTTGTTATATTTGTTCTTCCTGATACCTCCCTCTCGCACTTGTTATATTTGTTCTTCCTGATACCTCCCTCTCGCACTGGTTATATTTGTTCTTCCTGATACCTCCCTCTCGCACTGGTTATATTTGTTCTTCCTGATACCTCCCTCTCGCACTTGTTATATTTGTTCTTCCTGATACCTCCCTCTCGCACTGGTTATATTTGTTCTTCCTGATACCTCCCTCTCGCACTGGTTATATTTGTTCTTCCTGATACCTCCCTCTCGCACTTGTTATATTTGTTCTTCCTGATACCTCCCTCTCGCACTGGTTATATTTGTTCTTCCTGATACCTCCCTCTCGCACTGGTTATATTTGTTCTTCCTGATACCTCCCTCTCGCACTGGTTATATTTGTTCTTCCTGATACCTCCCTCTCGCACTTGTTATATTTGTTCTTCCTGATACCTCCCTCTCGCACTTGTTATATTTGTTCTTCCTGATACCTCCCTCTCGCACTTGTTATATTTGTTCTTCCTGATACCTCCCTCTCGCACTTGTTATATTTGTTCTTCCTGATACCTCCCTCTCGCACTTGTTATATTTGTTCTTCCTGATACCTCCCTCTCGCACTTGTTATATTTGTTCTTCCTGATACCTCCCTCTCGCACTTGTTATATTTGTTCTTCCTGATACCTCCCTCTCGCACTGGTTATATTTGTTCTTCCTGATACCTCCCTCTCGCACTTGTTATATTTGTTCTTCCTGATACCTCCCTCTCGCACTTGTTATATTTGTTCTTCCTGATACCTCCCTCTCGCACTTGTTATATTTGTTCTTCCTGATACCTCCTCTCGCACTTGTTATATTTGTTCTTCCTGATACCTCCCTCTCGCACTTGTTATATTTGTTCTTCCTGATACCTCCCTCTCGCACTTGTTATATTTGTTCTTCCTGATACCTCCCTCTCGCACTGGTTATATTTGTTCTTCCTGATACCTCCCTCTCGCACTTGTTATATTTGTTCTTCCTGATACCTCCCTCTCGCACTGGTTATATTTGTTCTTCCTGATACCTCCCTCTCGCACTTGTTATATTTGTTCTTCCTGATACCTCCCTCTCGCACTTGTTATATTTGTTCTTCCTGATACCTCCCTCTCGCACTTGTTATATTTGTTCTTCCTGATACCTCCCTCTCGCACTTGTTATATTTGTTCTTCCTGATACCTCCCTCTCGCACTGGTTATATTTGTTCTTCCTGATACCTCCCTCTCGCACTTGTTATATTTGTTCTTCCTGATACCTCCCTCTCGCACTTGTTATATTTGTTCTTCCTGATACCTCCCTCTCGCACTTGTTATATTTGTTCTTCCTGATACCTCCCTCTCGCACTGGTTATATTTGTTCTTCCTGATACCTCCCTCTCGCACTTGTTATATTTGTTCTTCCTGATACCTCCCTCTCGCATTTTCACTGCACATTCAATTTTTTATCTTTCTTTGTCTTCCCCACCTCTAGCAATTACTGAGTTTCCATTAGCATGCAGATTTTAGTTAGCTCTTCTCTCAGTGCTTTTATTCTCTCTCTCAGAACCCATTGCCGTATATAGTCAGGTCTTGTTGGCTTTTATGTGTTTAGTTCCTCAGTTATTATGTGGAAAATATTCGTTACTTGTTAATGTGTCTTTCCTCTTTGATCCGTGATCTTGTACCCGGCGACACCGACACCTCCATCATATGTTATCTTTTGAGTTCTTTGAAAACCTCTTTTCCCATATGTATTTACTTTGAAACATTATGTTAAAATATACTTTATATCCTGATGGCATTATACGGAGAGAGGGAGAGGGGGAGGAAGAAAAGGAAAGGGAGAGGGAGCAGTAGGAGTAAGAGGAAGCGGAGGAGGAGGAGAGGATGAGAATGAGGGAAGTAAGAAGACGAGGGGAAGAGGAGAGTAGGAGGAAGATGAGGAGAGGAGAAGGAAGATGGGAGAGAGAGAGAGAGAGAGATGAACTAATTAATTAACTGCAATAACTTTCACTCAGCTGTGGCGATGTTTTCATGAGCGTGGAAAGTGGATGTTTGGTTCAGTATGAATCCTGGGAAAATTAAATAATGTGTGATGTAAGTGATATGATCTATATTATATTAATAAAAATATACTGGAGTTATCTATAATTCACATGCACAACAAATAATATAGCGCCATTCCCGGACGTGTGAACAAAAGCAGATAATTAATGTTATTTATAATTAACTTATTTCATTCCTATATCCAAAAAGAATAGTGCCATATTAATGGATATCTATTACCTTATTTTATGTTGACTCATTCATTGTCCATACCAGACCATTTACTTGCGTATCGTAATTTATGATTACTTTTTTTGTTCATAGCTTACTCCTCCCGACACCCTCACACTCACAACAGAGGAACTCAGTATAACCACAGCTGCCCTGATTGTCAATACAGAGGTGCTCCCTACCCTTACTATCACTACAGAGGTTCTTATCACCCTATCGCTGCAGAGGTCCTCATCACCTTTAACTATATCACTAGAGAAGCTAACACCACTCTATCTCTAGAAAGGCATTTGTTATTCATACTATAACTACAGAGCGCCCCTTACCCTCACTATCACTACACAGGTGTTACCTACCCTTACTATCAATACAGAGGTCCTTGTCACACCTACTATCATTACAAATGTCCTCGTCACCCTCAATATTACTACAGAGGCTAACACCATTCTATCTCTAGAAAAGCTCTTCCTACTCTATCACTGCAGAGGTCCTCACCACCCACTATCCCAACAGAGGCACTACTCTACGAGATGTTGCCGAGATGCGTGGCAGAGCAGCTCAAGAGAGGACACAAAGTGGAGGCTGAGAACTTCGACTGTGTTACTATATACTTCAGTGACATTGTTGGCTTCACCGAGATGTCCGCGGAATCCACCCCGCTCCAGGTAACCTTTCTGTTATCGGTATTATTATTATAATTATTATTTTATTATTATTATTATTATTATTATTATTATTATTATTATTATTATTAATTTTTGTAACCTTTCCACGAAAATATTATGTTTTTGCTCTAATTTACTTCATTTTTGCTGCCTCATTTTGGAGTACCTTGAGAATATTTCATATCTATTGGAAACTTAATATACCGATTTCTGCAAAATGAAACGAAATATCTTACTGATGTTTAATTTTCTATATACTTGCCATGGAAACCCACAGGTTTTTTTTTCAGTTGGGCAAAACCTTGCGTAGGAGATCAGTTCTCAGGGAGTAATAATACACTTATAATCCCCACATAAGAGCGAGAATCTTACTACGACGTTTCGGTCCGATTTGGACCATTTACAAATTCATACTAAGAGAAAGGAGAAGGAAAGGCCAGCAGACAGGGACGGAACAAGAGAGGAAGTAGGAAAGGAAGCACTACTTCCTCTCCTACTACCTCTCCTGTCCCGTCCCTGTCTGCTGGCCTGTATACTGCCTTCTCTCCTTTCTGTTAGTGTGACTTTGTAAATGATCCAAGCCAGGCCGAAACGTCGTGACAAGTTCCTCTCTCCTATCTGCGGATTATTTGTGTATTGTTCCAGTCACGGTATTGTCTTTTTCTGTTATTTACAGTAATAATCATGGACATGTTCCGTTGAAGGCCCGCGTTTTCACAGTAAGTCAACAGAGAAAAACATTGTATTATATAGAAAACCAACGTGTATTCAACACTTGTCAAGACAAGGGAAAAATTATAGAAATATACTTAGAAACAGAAATATGGAATTATAGACATAAAGAAAGACAGAAATAAAAAGATGAAAGATGATCTTAAAATTTCGACCTCAGGCTGTGTCATCTTCGGTTTTCATGTGTGAAAAAAACAATAAACATGTTTAATAAATTACACCTGGTTTTTTAAGTTTTATTTTGTTAATAGATTTGCTTTATAATTTTCTCGTAGTGAAACATGAAACATATGTATATGTATGCGTTTAATGTACATTTGTTGGTTATACATGTGTTTTTTGTACATGTGTTTGTTGTACATGCGTATGTTGTACAGGTGTTTCCCCTCAAGGGAGTTTCCTTGACGCTGGTGAGGGGCTCTTGATCTAGGGAATTGGATCTTTGCTCCAGTTCCCTGAATTAAGCCTGAATACCTTCTATCATCTCCCCCCACAGGCGCTGTATAATCCTACGGGTTTAGCACTCCCCCATGGTTATAATAATAGTGTACATGTGTTTGTGCATGTGCTTTTTATACAAGTGTATGTTTCACATATGTTGTGTATGTGCTTGTACATGTGTTTGCTGTTCATGTGTTAGTTTTGCATGAGTTGTACACTTGTTTATTTTGTGTTGTACATATGCCAGTTGTGTATTTGTTGTACATGTGAATGTACATGTGACAGTTGTACATGTTTTATTAATAGTACATGTGTTATACATGTATATATGCCTTGTATGTGTCAGTTGTGAATATCAAAATGGTATACAATACCGACAGGTTGGTAGGTAAGACACATAGGGAACAGTTAGGCAACTTTATTCCGAAACGTTTCGCTTACACAGTAGGCTTCTTCAGTCGAGTACAGAAAGTAGGCAGGAACAGTAGAGGTTGTCAGTCCCTGAGCCTGGAAAAGAGTTCTGGAGATATGAAGACAATGTCATCAGTCTGACAACATCAAATCTACAGTTTCGAGGGTGATGGACTGATTACATCGTCTTCACATCTCTACTGCTCCTGCCTACTTTCTGTACTTGACTGAAGAAGCCTACTGTGTAGGCGAAACGTTTCGGAATAAAGTTGCCTAACTGTTGCCTATGTGTCTTACCTACCATGTGTCAGTTGTGCATGTTTGTTGTACATGTGTTTGTTGTGCATATGTTTGTTCATGTGTTGTTCATGTGTTGTACATATACTACTCGTGCATGTGTTTGTTGCACATGTTTATTGTACATATCTCAGGTTTGCATGTGTTGTACATGCGTTTGTTGCGCAAGTGTTTGTTGTACATGTGTCGTACATGTGCATGTTTTTGTTGTACATGTCTTTGCTGCTCATATGTTTGTTCGTGGATTTATTGTACATGTATCTGCTGTACATGTGTTTGTTGTGTATGTGTTTGCTGTAAATGTGTTGTGTATGTGTTGTACATGTGTTTGTTGTACATGTTTGTTGTACATGTGTTTGTTGCAAATGCGTTTAATGCATATGTGTTACACATATGTTACGCTAAACATGCATTTCGTCGTGTATGAATTTTAGTGTTTACATTCATTTGTTTAACATTTGTTTCATAAACATTCGTCTGAAATGCAGGTTTTATTATGCATGCATGCGTTGTGCATGCCTTCGTTACTGATGCATGTGTCGTGCGTGGGTTTGTTGTGGTATACCAAGGGAGGGGGGGATATATAGACCTGATTTTGGCTGTTCTCCTGGGCGCCAGTGATACCAAGTGATGCGTTGTTTCAGTACATCTCTCCGGGGATCCACTTGAACTATAATGGCTATGTGAAGCCTCATTTGCCGAATACTGGAACCCCCAAAGCGAACGTGAAATCAGATCATGAGGATAAATGAATCCCATGAGGGAATGTGAAGCCACATGGGGTGATTGAGCCATTGGAAGGTACTTAATCTTCATCACCAAGTACAATAACTTCACAAGTTGTATATACGAAGTCTTATCAGGGAGTTCAAGGAGCCGCAGCTGGTGCGTCTAGATACAGGCTACACATGTCGAAGCAGAGAGGGCAAAATTATAATGATTGTATACAGAATACTATACTTCCCCTATATCCCCAGAGGGACGACAATTTCTAGGCTCACAGACAGTGACACGCACTATGCTTATCTCCTGTCGTTTTGATGATACAAGTTGTATAGGATACAAATGATGAGTCACAATGATGCCTCATAATGAGGTCAGGGGAGGATCACCGAGTGAAAAAATTTCACAAATCTGTACTGGATTGTCACTGTAGACCAAGATTGTCACTGTAGACCAAGATTGTCACTGTAGACCAAGGTTTATCTGATAAACTCATTTTCTCAATAATTATCATTTTCTTTGTACTACTCTTTGTATACATGTTCTTATGAAAATGAACTTCATGTTTGGAAGTGGGTTCAAGACCCAAACTCCATTACGCAAGCAGTTGTTTATTGATATAAACCACCGTTAAGCCAGCAGCTTAACAACTATTATATATAACAGGTAAACCAGAAGCTGTATAACTACGGGTGTATAACACCTGCAAAACAGTGGTTGTTGTACCACTAATTCCCAGCATCGGTAAGCCATCGATTGCCTTAATATTGTTATTTTACACTGTTGCAACACTGGTTGCCTAAACATCGGTACATAGCACAGGTAATCCAGTGTAGGTTTAATCATGGGAGGGTCATCACCTAAATCTTCCCGATTTTCTGACGAATAAATTACTGCTACTTCCATCTTAGGAAATTTTAATACTGTTTAAAAAATTGCTTAAAGGTTTATTTTCTAGGCTAGCGGAACATTGTGATCCGTCCCGATGGCCTTGGAATTACGATAGATTTCTGGTTGATTGCTGAATTACATTGTTCTCCCTAGTTTTTCATTTTCCGGCTCATACAGCCGGAAGAAAATTTACTGAGGGTTTGACGATGCCTGTACAACTGTTCTTAGAGATAATGTACACTCTTGTTTTAGATCATGATTCCGTTTGCAGAAAATAATTATACATAATGATTGTTACTGAGAATGGAATGAAAAAAGTGATTAGATGTACAGCAAACACTGCTGAGAAAGATGTAAAATGAAAGACAGGATCACACCAGGTGGTGGGATCTTGTCGATATATACAAACCGACAGATACGTATCTGTCAGTGTGTATACATACACTGTGAGGTTTGTATCTTTCAGAGCAAACACACCGAAAGGTATGTATGTCTTATCTTCTCTTTCATTCTCTTCTACTCTTGTGTTAGCTCTTATTCTGTTCTATTCTTATAATCGCATTATCTTTTTGCTATTATCTTTTCTCTGATTCTCTTTTGCTCTTCCCGCAGTCTCTTGATATTTTTCGCACTTCCTCGTTTGCAATAATCCTGTTTCTCTCATTCACTTGTGATCTTATTCTGTTGGTGCAGGTGGTGGACTTCCTCAATGACCTTTACACCTGCTTCGACTCCATCATTGGTAACTACGATGTCTACAAAGTGGAAACCATTGGTGATGCTTACATGGTGGTAAGTACTTTTGTGTTTTGAATTCTACTTACGCATTTGTGTCTCAGGGTGGAACTCAAGTTCGTAGCCTAACCTTTTAAGCCTTCAATTTATGTGTATTTAGTTGCTAGTCTTGTGTGGTCTATCATCTACTTCATCTTAATTATTTCACTTATTCACCATTCTAAGATTTCAAGGGCGATTCATAACGATACTGTGCCACACCTGAATGATCATTTTCCATCTGAGGCCTCTTGCTCTGGGACCCTATCAGTGCCCTGCAGTACGTTGTACAACGTGGTCATGGATACCCACACCCGTTCCTTTAATAACATAATTTTCAGCTCCTTTCATCTATACTAGTAGTTCACCTTAGCTGCTGAACCAGTCTGGTGATAAACCCCAGGTAACATACTGTCGTCTTTTACCTTTTTCCCAACTGCCATCATTATTACTTGACTCTTTTTGAGGTTAAATTCTTGCCTCGCTTATTGGGCCATTCCTGCCGTCTTTCCAGTCGTTCAGTAGGTAGCTTCATTATCTGAAATTAGCAACATATTTGAGACTGTCTTCTGATGGGTCGTCTACAAATATAAATATTAGAAAAGGAAAGGTCTTCGGAGGATTCTCCACCGCAGTTTAGCCCATTTTCACCACTCAGCTTGACTCACGTGCCTCGTAGGCCTATCGGTGAGGCACAATACCCAATTCCTTCTGAAAATCTGCCAGTTCATCTCTATTTTCTCTAGTTTCCGTCAGCCTATCGTAAAATTCAGTGTGGTAGAATTTGTCTTCTCCAAGTCAGGACTGACATTCCAGATATTTCACCAAACGCTTCCCCTTTATCTTTTCCATGTATGTCAGGGATAATGGTGTGTATTTTATAGTCAACTATCCGTCACTTTTTGAGGGTCTATATCACATTAGCCGTCATCCAAAAATCTGGTCTAGCCAGTGGCTATCAGGTCATCGACTCTCTTCATTAACCATGGTGATAAACTTTCAAGCTAAATTTACGATTTTCATTGCCATGTGCACTAGTATCTATTAACCTGTTCGTTAGTGCTCTCTTAGTTTTGACCGGGTTTTATGTAGCCGTTCACAGGCTTCATTCCTGCTTCCCGGAACTATCCTCCACCCTCTTACCAACTGATTGGTCACGGTTCTTTTTCCTAGCCAGACTGTAGAGCAGTATTTTTGCTTAGTATTTGCCATGGTTGTCGTTATTCCTTCTATGACTTCATCCTTACTTTGACGTCCTCTTTCTAAGCTAGATTAAGCTGTTATGCATTTGTTGTTGCATGACTTTTTGCAATGCTTGACTTCTATGCAGCTTTTATCTAACTGTTAGCTGTATTTGATTGTGAATTCCACAGGATGTAATTTTTGGTTGCCACCCAACACATTTGTGTAAGATTCTCGATCACTGATGGAGGGGTTATGCTGTTTTGCTCGTTATTCGTATAAAAATCTGATGAGAACTGTCGCAGTACCTCTAAATTACCTATGTATTGTAGCGTGTATGTGGACCTGCCTTAAGTATTTAATCATGAGCACCTATTTGCTCTGATGGGTTTTGTATTTGACATACCAGATGTCACATAGTCATCACTGGTCGTTTGACTTTCTATGAATTTGGCCGACCAACGGGATTTTGTTTTGTTTGACGGTCTTTTTGTTGATAAATGAGACAAGATGCTGATATCTTTGTTGGCAATGTTACCCAGCATCAGTAATGTTGTAGTTGTTGTGGCCTTTGCTACTCGCAGCACAGAAGAACCTCGGTGTCGATTCTAAGACTGGTAGAGACGATGCAATTGTTTTCTCACCCATTTTGTCTTAGTTCACCTAGCAGTAAGTAATGTGCTAGCCGGCTGTTGTGGGTCGCATCCTGGGGAATACATGAATACAACTTCCACCAACATCACTAATACTACAGTACTATCTCCATATCCAGAATATCCACGATCCGCACCACCACCAGCACTATCCTCACTATAACTTCGACACCACCATAACAAGCACTATAACCACCCTTTCCAACATTACCACTACATTGTCATCATCACTGTCAGTGCCATCACCACTAAAGCAACAACCACCATAGCCGCCATCACTACCATCATCGTAGTTTCACCACAACTATCACATCATCACCCCAAACACCACCACAGTTAGCACCACCCTGTAGTTGAGGATAAAATACTGATTAAAGAAAATACTTATGTTTTATCCCAAGATGGATTAAAACTTCATTGAAGGGCTTTGCCTTAATGCGGAGACCTGATTAGATTGGAAAGACTGAGGCAGACCTATTGTACCTGAGGAAAAAATCAACCAGAGCTTTCGGTTTGTCGGTTTGTTTTAGTATTTATAGTTCCCATAGGTACTGCTTATGGTTTTGTGCTTCTGCACATACTACTAATAAAGCATATTACAGAGGATGAACTTGAAACAGGTCTTCTCTATCCAGCCTCCAACAGAAATATTTGTCTAACCTATTTTTATGTTACCCAAGTAATAGCTATTATATCCTTTTACTCATGTGCAAGTTAATTGTTCTACCATATTGTATTACTACTACTACAACTTATATCACTACTACTACTACTACCACCACTAGTATTGCACCTCACTCTAAGCCTATATATACCCTCTGTGTCCTTTTACTGTTTGTAACGGCTTGACAAAGCTCCTGGAGAGCGAAACGTTGCCACAATAAAATGTTACATTAGTTGCACTTGTGTCCTTTTACTTTACATATTGTCGGTAATTTTACCAAAATATATACAGTTTGCACATTAATGTAAATATTTATTTATTATCTGACCTTGACTTAAGCAGCGACAAATACTTTTCATAGAAACTGAAGCTACAGTTTTATTTTATGTGAAAAATTAAGCCAAATCATATTTATTTCAAGCAGTAAACCTTAACACATTCTTAATGATTTATATGCATATTTTAGCTTAAAATTAAAGTGTGTCAAGAAATTCATTATTACTTCCGTAAATGGTTCCTCAAAAGCCGGAGCTGAGCACAGTGGTCCCGGCTTTAAGAAATGCTTTAGTTTAACTACCACTTGACACTCGTGACAGACTTGGATATATCTTGTATCTTTCTTCAGGCCCAGCCAGAATTAGCTCCTAGTTATTTTAACATTATCTTAGTTATTCCCTATCGTCTTCCCTTAGAAGAATCATGGGCTACACGAAGCACTTGGTCTCTAAAAGATTTAGGTAGTACCACCTTCTCTAATCATCTCCATCCCAGTAGCCTCTTATTAATTTTAGTCTAGTTGTCTTTAACGAGAACTCCTTTTTTTTCCTCTTTCTGGTGAAAATGCATGAAGGGAAAATGACTGCTTTCTTGCAAATGTTATGTTGCTCGTCCATGCACATCATTTCCTCAGGTAATAAGATGAGAGTATCTGGCAGTTCTGCAACCATGACATAAGAAGTACCGGCCTTGTGCTTTTCACTTGAATTGTGTAGTCTGGAGGGATGTTAATGATGAACATGTCTAACCAAAAAATTTGAACCTTCCAGTTCAATGTTAACATTCTTATCAGGCTTTCCATTGGACATAGCAAGTGTTTTGAATATTTATTTGGAAAAATTAGGGAAGAAAGTGTTTGCTTTATCCTTACAACAGCATCCACTACTAGATTAAAACAAAGATTATTAAAAGTCAGAACATTATTACCAGTTAATAACAATGGAGAATTCACTTGAAAGATTCATTGAATTCACCTTCGTTGTATTAACCTTACAAAGATTGTATACAGTGACAGAGAAGTTATCGCATCACCATATCGTATCACCATAAGTGTCCTAATATCGGTAGGACTTTTCCCAACAATATTCAACAAAATACCCCAGAATCCCTAAATATAGTGACTGTCACTAGGAGTGTCTCATTAAGGCACGCACTTGTAACCTTATCCCAAGGCACTAGGGATTTTATTAGTGCTCATAAAACCCTTTAATTTTTTGTTCAATTTGTTTCCTTGTGTTCTATTGTTAAACATAGCAAGTGAAGCTTGAAGTGTTTCTCACAAAAGATTATTTGTTACCTTATATACATCACAAAGGTTCAATATTAATTATTTGTGTTTGCATCCTATATGAGCTTAACATTTGTGTTTCCATTTAACATCAGAAACACAAGAGAAATTATTTTCTCTCATAACTTTGTCACCAACTGAGTTTGGTCACGAGAAAAATGTTAATGTATTCTTACGCCCAATCTCCTGTTTATTTTATAGGTACCAAAAACCTTAGTTGCTTTGAACACGGATTCAGTTTTATGATCCTATAATTATTTGCCAGATGTTAGGATCATATCAGAGAAAAGGTTATCTTCCCGTACCAACTGCACCAGATTACTAAAGTTTTTAATCCTCGTATTTCATGACGCACTTCGTGACACTTGTAGGTTTAGCTCTTCTTTTTTTGTTATAATAGTATGACGTACGTCGACTGCTCACGGGCTAGCTCCTTGTTTGTCTGCTCATCCTGGCATTCAGCTAGTTTAAACTCTCCCAAGTGTTTAGCAAATATACACTCGTATGTATCAAACACTCAGTATGACTACATGATTGCTATTGTATCTAATAACTGATCCCCAGCAGCACTAGTACCTCCAGTGATTCGCTTTCTACGTGACTACCTCCATTGCACTACCTCAACCACCACCACCCTGTACCACCACCACTTTTCCCATTAACCACTACCATCCACCACTATCACCACCATCATCCACCACCACCACCACCACCATCATCATCATCGCCATTTGTGTTCCTCCAAGTAACATTTCTTATTTCCAGTGATTATTTTTATCCATGGGAGGTGGGGCCTTAATGAGCTTTAGACTGCTCTAGTTCCTTCTTTAATGTTTATACCTGTCGTTTATACCCACCCTCGCATCAACCCTCCCTCCCTCTCTCTCTCCGTCCCTCTCTCTCTCTCTCTCTCTCTCTCTCTCTCTCTCTCTCTCTCTCTCTCTCTCTCTCTCTC